TTGAGAGCTACTCTAGACAGAAACGTTCAAGTCTACCTTCAGTGTTGATACAGTCTGAGACACCGAATCAGATAGTGTTCCTGATCCTACAAACCCTGAAGGCTGCGTTTGGGCACGTGGGCGTTCAGTATTAGGCAATATAACAGGTTGCACTACAGGTTTCGGAGTCTCTTTGATAGTAGGTGAAGCAGCTGGTGGTGAAAGAGGAGATGGTGTCTGATTCAACACGTGTGGTAGACCACTGGTCCCATTCGGGGCAAGCGACACCTTTTCAGGCTGAAAAAAACGTGTTTGACGCTTGCAAATAACGATTACATAATAGTGGGTCAGAAATGTATATTTGGAAGCATGGGACCACATATTCTTGACAAAAAAGAAAGCTCACGAGTGCATTGGAGCCAGCCAGCCACTCGGCAGATGTGCAGCCAGCTTTAGGACCTCGAGTATCCGGGAATAAATCCGCGTGGAAATCGCGATAAGACTGCAACGTTTTATGGTGATATATGAAAAAAAACTGAGGGTGAACTAAAAAAAAATAGTGAATCTCTTTCTAACAAAATTATGCCATATCTGAGTATGGTGCTCTTATTAACGGAAAAAGAATGGTGTTTTCAAACACAAATACCATGAGAAAATGATGATGGCTGCTAGATTTATGTGAATGTTTTTCAGATTTCTGATCTGGAGGTGCGTAATCACTCTGTTGGATCAGATTTTCTTCCACCCAAAATGAGCAGCTGGGATAAGGAAAGGGTTAACACGTTGACGACAGCGTGACGCGGTAACGCGTCCCACCCAAGTCATCCCTTTTTCTTGCGCTTGTGCGACTTATTCCTAAGGTCTTTGTACTCATTCTATAGGTACATTAGCATACTTAAAAACCACATGGCTCACAGAAAGGCCAAATATTCTTTAGTTTGGCAGAGGTTTTCCAGACCTTACGGATATGTCTGTTCAGTTCATTCCTCGTTTTCTTTTCATTAACGTAACATGTTGATAAAAAGGAATAATAGAAGCGAATACAAACCTATTCGTATGGGAAGATATGTGTTTTTACTGAAACAACCACGTCCAAATTAATTTTGGAACCAAGTAAGTAAAATTTGCCTTTTCATGGCCTTAACACGTCATTTCGGTCAAACTTCCATTACTGTGTAACTCCCGATAAGCTAGACAGATCGAACATCATTGAAAACATTTCATCGCATCTAAGTATTGCGGATTTACAAGCTTAAAATCATGGATTTGGTGTGCGGCGGCTGCGCTCGCAAAATCGCTCTTGTCCCACGAGGTGCAAAAGCACAAAACGCGCGATGTCGTCAACGTGGTTCAGGAGTATAAGTTGAGCGGTTGTTTAAATCTATGGAGACAATCACAGGAGTGTCTCCAGTGAAAAAAGGGTAAAGAGGAAGCAGCAGCAACGTCGTGAATAACCGATCTTTGTCAAAGCCATAAGAAATGGCAAACAATAAAAAGGAGAAATAAATACAAGGCTGCCTTGAATTCAAAGAGCCTTAACATGACGACAATTATCGTGAAACATAAATAAAAAACGATAAGAGATGATAAAAATGATGATAAATAACAGATAGAATGATAAAAACCGTATTCGTTCTGAAGAATAAGCAGACTCACCCTACGCGGTACTATGCATGGTATTGGTAGTATGCAATGCTTTGTGAGCTGATACAAAGTATCCACTTCACCATCCATGACGGTCACGTTCCGCTTACTACCCAAACACGCTCCGAGATTTTGTTCAGCAAGAGACATCTCATAAACTGCAAAAGATGTAGCTCGTAATTCATGAAACAGAGAGAAGAGCGCCAGCTGAACAAAATGATGAGCGGAAGTCGAAATAAAGCTAACTGGAGAAAGATATTGGCACTTTTAGTTGATTCCGCACATAAAACAGCTTGTTGTCCCTGTACAACAGGATAAACTAAATGTGTGATCGCGGTGGGTCGTAAAATGGTCATCAAAACTGTTGAAAAACATTATCCGAGGTGTACTAGTTTGTCCCCTGCCCAATCTCCAAACCGTGTACTTCCTGGGTCGGATTTCTGAAAACAAGATTGTTTTTTTTCCAAATTGTAAAAAAAAAACAAATGCATGGTTTCGAAAGCTTTTTTCGCCTCACTAATGGACAGCGCGGATGGAGAACATGTTGGATGCTAACTGCAGATGTTCTTGAATGGGTAGTTCAGATATGAATGCGAATAAAGCTGGGCATGTGGGTGGCCACAATTAAAAAATTTAGAGTCACAGAATAAAAAATTACTTGCTTGGTGAATCCACTGGGAAGTAGGCGATCCCGCAAACAGCACACGTTGATTCACGGCCCAATTCCTTGATTCGCTGAATCGCGAACGTTGCTACTTCGTGCCATCATACACAGACTAGAATCAGAATCACGATTAAATTTGTTTAAAATTTAAAAGTTGTCAAAACACGACAGCTTGATTACTTTTATACTGTAGATCACAGAAAAGTTAAGGGCGTAAACAGTGAACTGAGGAGTCAAAATTAAGTGAGGAGTAAGGGCACCATCTAAAATGGTATGGGACTTTGTGTCAGTTGAAAAAACAATCGAAGTCGTAAGTACATGATTTTAAGGCTAACCTCACGTCCCTTGTCAGCACTGATTGCTAGGAGCTTTCCGTCTTCACTCCAGTCCAGCGATTGGCCTTTGTCCACGAAACCATCGAGCTCTGAGTTAAGGTACTTTAGGAGCTTTTTTTTACTCCCTCTTGTGGAGAACCCATATAAAAACAATACAAATCCAAACGATACACCTCAAAAACACATTAGCCATCGTTGTCAATTTGTGCAGATGCCTGGTCACTAGATGATCCTTGTAATTAGGCACCCAGTAATTGCTTTTGTTTGGTACTTGTTTGGTGAACAATCCGTATATAGGAAAGCGAACACCCTTTCGAACTACGCTGTGATACTATCATAATGTTGGCGGCGGGAGGATTCCAATTTTTCTCGAGGTAACATCACAAAAAAATCTTTTTGGCCTCCTCACATACGGCTAAAAATTTCATTGTTCTATTGCATCCATATCTATATCTAAAACGTTTTGTATCTACTCAAAAATGTGAATTCAATCCCTTCTACGACACGCCACATAAAACGTGGCCCTCCACCACATGTCTTGCTCCAGCGCACCTTGGCACCGCCCCGGCGTCTGTGAAGTGACCTTAAAGAATGGTCACTTCATAGACGCCAAGGCGGTGCCGAAATCTGTTTGTTTTCGGAAACTGAATTATGCATATAATTTTCTACGCCGCAATTGTGACCACTCGAAGCATTTGCGCGAGAAGGAAAACAAAAAACTACCATGCGCGATCCTTTGTACTAAGTTGTCACATCAGCTTTTTTCAAACTCAACTGCACCTCAATTGTGGAACTTCCATTAATAACGCAATGGCTAAGGCTGTCGTTTCATTGGTATTATGTCACGGGTTGGAGTTCTTGTAAGGTGCTGCGATGGATGCTAGAAAACTTTTTCAAAAGCCTTTCAGGTCAACAGTAAGACAGCGGTTCCGTGAAAATTTTCACTAGGTGAGAGGAATGATTGCGCATGGGTTATTGAGTCGCCCCCACGTTACCAGTCGTCGGAAGCCGCCACATCAATAATTGTTCTGCGCTCAATTTTTTTATCGTATATTTCACATTTTTCATATTGATCATCTTGTTTGAGACTTTTCATTACTAAACTGATCTATCAAATGAAATATGGCAGCGAACTCACTCGTGGCAACCACATTCCTTTCAATGTCAATGACGTAAGCGTCGCCAAGGGAAGCGGCAGCAATAATATTGGAGGCTGTAGAATGTGGTTTGATCGAATCCAAAAGTACCCCATTTCCAACATGTATTTCACACTCAAGGGAATTTGTCGCTTCTTCACCAGAAAGGCGCCAGATCTTCACCTTAAACGATACTTTGACGTTACAGCAGAAGGAAGCAAAGATGCTGTCACATATGAAGATGGACAAAAAACAGAGACGAGCGTATAAATGTATAGGAAGGAAAATGAAAACGAAAATTGACTAACATTATCATCCCGGCTGCAAGTTACTAGAAGATCGTCATTAAACGTCATGAAGCAGAAGTCATCTATTTGATCTAAATCGGCAGATGATTTATGGAATAGGAGCCAGCTGCATGGAAACACACCAAAAGCAGTAATAAGAAAGATGTAACTAGCCTGCATGTGCACATACAATGGACATATCCTTTCTCAGTTTTCTTCCTTTGGCATTGATCGGTAAAGCGCCTAGTTTTCCTCCTGAAGTGTTTCGGAATCAAAATATTCACTTTTCAAGAAAGCAAACACCAGTACTTGCGTAATTTGAATCGATAGTCTAGGAATCAAAAATACGATTGAAATACGTTAGCAACCTTCTCCTTCCACGTGAAATGCCAGGTAGCTGCCACTTGCTTGAACACCATTGTTTGTGCATGAGAGATTGCCGATGGGAAGATCAAATATTGTATCCTAGAATAAACTACTTCAATTCGTATACAATGCAACCTATTTTAGTACTATTACAACTTTCTTTATTTATATATTTGCTTGGCAAAGATCATAAATACATAATTATGAGAAGATCTATTACCGCGGCAGAATCCGCCATGTCTAGAAACAAGTGTTATGGTTACAGCGAAAATGGTTTCGAAAGCGTAGTTCCTAGCACACTGAGGCTCAAGATGAGATTGACGGTATCAAAAAGCCTAGGAAACAAGCAGTCAAAATAAGAAAAATCGTTTGGCTAGCCTTTTCATACTGTTTTCATATCGTGTATTAATGAGAAGGGTTTAGGTTGTGATCCTATGGCAAATGTTGACCAGGGTACAAAAAAAATGTTCTTTCAAGAACATTTAAGAAGGCGCGTCAGAACAACCTTCCAGGGTAACTTTTTAGTCAAACGAGAACCTAAGAATTCGTAACTATAGCTTGATAGCAAGGAGACCCGCAGAAACGTGCGCAATGTCGCAGTTATTATCTGAATGATAAGTAGTACTTCCACAGGTATTAGAGATACTGCAACAAATGACTCCGTAACTCCGTGACGGACGAGACCGCTAATTATGATGTACCCATGAAAGGCACGGGCGCACAATGCGCTTCTGAGGGGGGATGGCAGTACGTAAGAAGGCCACTAGGACTAAGCCTACGACGAGGGACGAATCCCGGATAGAATGAGAATTGCGCAGGCACCTCGGAGTCCCTCTTCTGCTCCAATGGTTAGTCCTGAAACTGAGCCTTTTCGTGAAACTGACAGAGTTAGGCGCAAAGTGGCTCCCATGGGAGGGGCTGCCTCCCCTCCCATGGGAGCCTCCTTTGCGCGGAGGCACGTAGCTGCTTTGCGGTGAGCACAACATAATTAAGTACCTATTTCTGTGGAGTAAGGTGCAAGGCGAAATATGGCGCAGTAGAGTAAGGTGCTGAAGGGGTCTATCGACGTGCTT